TCGATGCCATCGAGATTCAGTACCGTTGCGTAATGTGGATACGACGCTGTTCGATTCACATGATTTTTAGCTGGGTACAGAGCTGCGACCATCGACCACGCGAAGGACTTATTGTCCATGGATTGTACGTTGACCACCGCTTCCTTTTTAAATTTTTCTGGCACTTCGACGTAGCATCCCGCGTGCATGGGATTCAGTTTGTTCACGTTCACGGTTAAATTCAGAATTCGCGAGAGCGCCCACTCGCTGTCACGCTCCTGGTTCTCTTCGAGCGACGCTAACGTAGGTTCGATGACGTGTTGCTCGTACTACTCGCGCACATTCGACGCTGGATACAGTTTGCAGTTTTTAGTGTTTAAACTCATAACAGTGCGTTTATCGCCCGCTACGAACTCGCCGTTGAACGCGGTGTTCACTTTCACGCTACCGTGTCTCTCTAATGCGCCCCGCACACTCGCTGTCACGCTCGAGCACTACACTACCGGCGTCTTCCAAAATTGACGCGGCTCTATATGTTCAAAGTTTATCACCGCACCGGTTAGAACATGCCTCTCGAACGCGGTGTCGATCTCGCGCCACACTAGAGATCTATCGTTCTCGCGATCACCTCCACCACTACCCACGTGCACGAACAGTCGTTCCAATTGCGTCCCCGCACCCGCGAGTCGCGCAATCCTCGCCACCGCGGATTGTCTATGCCAGACGGTAAAATGCGGACGCTTGGCGCGGCAGAGTTCCTCCAAGCTCTCGACGCACTCGTCACATCGTTGCATCCACGCGAAACACTCCTCCAGGGTAGCAACGCGGCCGAATTGCTCCAACAGTTTGCGTTTCACTTGCTCGTGGTTTTCCATTTTTATTTTTTTTTTTTTAGAAAACTTTTATTCTGCGCACTTACACGTAATTTGTTCACACGTTCTGCAACCCCGCTCTAAATACACAATGTCATAGATATGTCGCACCTTTTCATTATATCTTTGGGAGATGTTACACTTTTCACAATCCATGCATCTATCGTCACACGGGTCGCGTAGTTTTTTAACAACAGGATGCGTATCATCCATACGATTGTACCCTTATACATATACATCGTTTATCATCACCACTTCGGCCCTTTTACCACTATACGTGTCCATTGATATCACCGCAGGAAGCCTCGAGTTTACACTTGAATTTATACCCCACCCAACCATAGTCTGTTGGTTTCCAAGTTCATACACTCGTTTCGTAATCGCGTGTACGCTTCTCGTCGCGCGAGCAATGACCATCCATAAGCGGGGTATGTGGTCACGATTACGTTTTTCACATCACGATCACCGTGGAGCTCTCGATCGCGAATTATACGCATCAGCGATGTCCACGCACTATAGTCTTCTTCCTGCGGATTTTCAAGAACGTATTTAACGTCTTCCAAAAGATCGTTGTACTCTTCTTTCTACAACTCCTCCCAAAACATGTTCATAAATTGTAATGTTTTTTTCTTTACACAGTACAAATCGGGCATGCGTTGCACGGGTATACTTGACACATCGGTTTTAGACAATTGGAGCACGTTCGAACTTCAAACATATCGGGGAAATCAGTATCGTGCTTCCTTATCACCAACATCCCACCAACGTCAGCGTTCGCGATTTTCCCATACACTCGGTACATACCGCAAATGCGCCACCTGTCGTGTAATAACATTGAATTTGACAAAATTTCATGTGAGAATTCAATGCCCGGATTTGCTCGGCTGGCACAATTTTTACTAAACGATTCGTATCGTTCTCCAGATCACTAATGCACCCCGTATCATCAGATAACACACTTTCGTCTGAAGATTCAATGTCCATCGCATCTTCGAAGTTTACATCTTCCAACACTTCATCCACGATATTCCCGACATCTTCGGGATCCATAATTTGAATATCGTTGATCACTACGTCCAATATATATTCTCACAACTTAACACGACTGACTCAAGACATCTACTGCAACACTGCGCGCTTACGATCCGTTATGTATTTCATTTCCAACTTTTTTATCCCTTTGTCTATCCCTACTAATCGCTCCATATCACCGATCTTCCTAGAAATGTATTGCAAAAGAAGCCGCTATGAGAACGCATATTTATTTATTTATTTATTTAATATTTGTTTTGGAGTTTCGTTTTCTGTTTCGTTCATCAGCCAAACCATTGGCGCTTGAACGTGTTGGAACGTGTCACCGATACCTTTCGATAACAATTCTTATTGATGCTTATTGTTTAAAAAGGATTTAGAAGAATTTAAGAAAGGGACTGTTGCATCTCATGACAAAAAAATGTTTGCGTAAACATTTCGGCGGCAGCGACGGCGGCAGCGGCCCAACTCCCCCTCCACTGCCCCACACACACACACACACACACACACACACACACACACACACGTATCGCATATACGTACACGCACAACGCACTAACACATAGTGATCTCGAACCCGCCTTGTATATCTACTCACGACAATACGCATAGACACGTATGACGAATATCCTCTATACATTGCAGTTCCATGCTCATATAAGGACTAGTAGAAGTAGTAGGCCGATTCAAAGCTGACGTCACGGGAGGGGAGGGGAACCCGTGGCGCGGGGGGTATGACGTCACGGGAGGGGAGGGGGAGCCGAGCCGCCTTATCGCGCGGGCCGCCGCCGCCGCGCCGTCCCCTCGCCCTAATCGCTGGGAGAGGATACATTTTCATGCACCGAGATGTTATTATTTGAGTATTAAATTTCAAAAGCTGCCGCCACCCTTTCGAGGCGACGACATCAAATAAGTTTTTTTCAAAAGCCACCAACCCCCTCCCCCTCCCATATACTAAGAGAGTTGTAGACGGATACAGATTCTCCGTCGCCACAAGGTGGCGCTAGTGTCGCGGGGAAGGTAATCGCGGGGAAGGTACTGGCGCGGGCATTTTCAAAAGCTGTCACCCTTCACCCCCTCCCCCTGAACACATGCTTCAGCAGTGATCACGTGACATTGATCACGTAACATGTAGTGTTTTGCGCAATCCGTCTAACGCGTTGTAACATGTCCACCCCCTCCCCCCTGAAAAAAATGCTTCTTCGATGTAATTGATACTCGTGCTCAAAAAACAAGTATTAAATTAAATAGCGATCTCATGGCGGTTCCTTTTACAATAATTTTCTCTTAGGAGATATCGGTGGTGATGCGTTCGAGCGCCTATGATTTGGCTGCTGAACGAAACTGTATCACAGGAAACGAAAGTGATCCTCCAATAGAAGTATTAAATTAATATACGCTATTTATCGCGATAACGATATTATTCTCTTAGCAGATATCAGTGGCAACGCGTTCGAGCGCCGATGGCTGCTGAACGAAACTGTATCACGAAAGTGATATTCCAACTCGCGAGAACAAGTATTAAATTAAATAGCGTTCTCATGGCGGTTTCTTTTATGATAAAAATTTCTAGGAAGATCGGTGACAAATTCAAGCGCCGATGGCTGCTGAACGAAACTGTATCACGAAAGTGATATTCCAAAACAAGTATTAAATTAATTTGCGCTATCTTTCGAGATACATTTCTAGCAAGACGCGTACTGAGAGGTCAGTAGGGATAAAGACAAAGGGATGAAGAAGTAGGAAATGAAATATATAATGAGTCGTAAGCGCGCCGTGTCACAGTAGATGTCATGAATCGATTGTGTTAAGACGCGAGAGTACAATAGATAGAGCGAACATTGAAAATATGGATGATGTTGGGAATGACGAAGCGATTGGAGATGTAAACTTTGAAGATGTGATGGACGTTGAGTCTTCCGACGAGAGTGTGCAATCGGACGATACGGGGTGCGTTAGCGATCTGGAGAACAATACCGATCGTTTAGTAAAAATTGTGTCAGCCGCGCAAATCCGAGCATTGAGTTCTGGCGTGAAGTTTTGTCAAATCCAGTGCTACTATTCGACAGGTGGAGCGCTAGCGGTATGTGCCGAGTGTATGGAGAGAATCGCGGACGCTGGCGTTGGTGGAATGTTGGTGATAAGGAAGCACGACACTGATTTCACCGATAAATTCGAATCCCGAACGTGCTCCAATTGTCTGAAACCGATGAGCCAAGTATACCCGTGCAACGCATGTCCCATATGTACCGTATAAGAAAATATAATGGCGATCAACGAATCATCGCATCGTTTGCTGGACGAAGATTGGGACGATTATTTTGAATGTGTGAACAATCTCGTCGAAGACGGCGTCGAAAATTTGCTGAGAAAGGATGTGTGGATATCGCCGGTTCATATAATTCGAGAGATACATGGTGATCGCGTGATAGAAAATGTTAATATCGAAGACAGTGAGTCTTCCGACGAAGATGAAGACGAAGATAGAATAAAAAACCTGTCATATACCGAGGTAAATGAGTGGATGTTTAATTACAAAGAATATAATAGAAATTTTCTGTATCAAATTCTTGAAGTGAATTCGGTTCTCAATAATCCGCAGAGAAAAGACGATAGTGCGTGTACATCGCCGGTGAATATAATTCGCGATCGAGAGATAGACGGTGAGCGCGTCGTGAAAAAAACATACATTGAAGGATTCCCAGCTTACGGATGGTCATTGCGCGCGCGACGAGAAGCGTACACGCGATTACGAGACGAGTGTATGATTCGTGAAACTGGAAATGTCAATGCATCAAAAATTGATTTTTCAGGGTATATCGCGAATACACTTCAATACTGCAAGCGCGTTACGATGTACACGTATAGTCGTAAAAGTGCCGAAGTGGTGATGCTAAAATGTAAAAATTTACGGTTTCGCAATCAAGAAAAGAATCCTGCTATAAAGAAACTATTTCGTGACGGATGTGTTAAGGACTACTGTGGATGTCGAAAGTGTATATCCTTCTTCTACAGTAAAAAGGTGGTCGGACTCTATGACATTGTAAACATGCAGAGATGTTGCGAAACGTGTGAACAAATTGCGTGCAAGTGCGCAGAATAAAAGTTTTCTAAAAAATGGAAAACCACGAGCGAGTGGAACGCGAACTGTTGGAGCAGTGCGGCCGCGTCACTACCCTGGCGGAGTGTTTCGTGTGGATGCAACGATGCGACGAGTGCGTCGTGAGCTTGGAGGAGCTCTGCCGCACCAAGCGTCCGCGTCTTGCCGTCGGGCACAGACAATCCGCGGTGGCGAGGATCGCGCGACTCGCGGGTGCGAGGACGCAGTTGGAACGACGGTTCGTGCACGTGGGTGGTGGCGGTGGTGATCGCGATAGATCTCTAGCGTGGCGCGAGATCGACGCCGCGTTCGAGAGGCGCGTTCTGACCGGTGCGGTGATAAACTTTGAACACATAGAACCGCGACAGTTTTTGGAAGACGCCGGTAGTGTGGTGCTCGAGCGAGTGCGAGGCGCTATAGAGAGACACGGTAGCGTGAAAGTGAACACCGCGTTCAACGGTGAGTTCATTGCGGGCGATAAACGCACCGTTATGAGTATAAACAGTAAAAACTGCGAACTGTATCCAGCGTCGAATGTGCGCGAGTGGTACGTGTCGCGCGTTATCGAGCCTACGTTGGCGTCGCTCGAAGAGCACCAGGAGCGCGACAGCGGGTGGGCGCTCTCGCGAATCCTGAACTTGACGGTGAACGTGAACAAACTTAATCCTATGCACGCGGGATGCTACGTCGAATTGCCGAAGAAAATTAAAGACAAGCACGCGCTGGTTAACGTAAGTTCGAAGGACGATGCATGCTTCGCGTGGTCGGTAGTAGCCGCTCTGTACCCCGCAGAAAATCATGTGTATCGGGCATCGTTGTATCCGCATTACTCTACAGTGCTCAACTTCACGGATATCGAATTTCCAGTGAAATTAAAAGACATTTCGAAATTCGAACGCTCGAACAATGTGTCGGTCAACGTCTACGGTATCGAGGACGGGGACATCCTACCTCTTCGGCTCACCGACGACAAGAAAGAGAGGCACGTCAATCTCCTGTACGTGCAAGACGGCGACACGGAACATTTCGTGACGATCAAGCATCTTTCCCGACTCGTAGGATCGCAACTCTCCAAAAAGAAGACTAAGAAATTCTTTTGTGATCGGTAAGTATAATAAATAAAAAATTAAATATTAAGAAAAAATTTTTTTACTAATGTATTTTTTTTTTTCAGTTGCCTCCATTATTTTTCCTCCAACGAAAAATTGGAGATCCACAGCGAGGACTGCGGTAAATTAAACAAGTGCGCTATCCGCCTACCTAGCGAGGAGAAAAAGTGGTTGGAGTTCCACAACTACGGTATGAAGGAGCGGGCGCCGTTTGTAGTATACGCCGACCTGGAGTGCGTCTTGCGAAAGACGGAAGACGCCGCAACATCGACATCGTCGTACGCGTACCAGCAGCACGAGGTATTTAGTATAGGGTACTACGTGCGGTGCTCGTACGACGACACGTTATCAGCGTATCGATGTCAGCGCGATAACGACTGCGTCAGCTGGTTCGCGCGCCAGCTCGAGGATTTGGCGCACCGCGTGAAAAATATAATAACGACCAACCGGCCTATGGATTTCACGCGAGACGACTGGCAGAAATTCAACAGTGCGACGCACTGTCATATCTGTGAGAAACCGTTCGCGCCGGGTGATGAGCGGGCACGCGACCATTGTCACCTCACCGGGCGATACCGCGGCCCAGCGCATAAGGGCTGCAACGTGAATTATAAGGACTCTCTGTACATTCCGGTTGTATTCCACAACCTATCGGGATACGACGCGCACTTCGTTATAAAAGAAATCGCTACAAAATTCAAGGGGAAAGTAGATCTACTTCCTCTGACTAAAGAAAAATACATTTCGTTCACTAAACACGTTAAAGACACTAGTGACGAAGATTCGCGAAATTGCGTTAAATTAAGATTTATCGATTCTTATAAATTTTTGAGTTCGAGTCTAGATAAATTAGCGTCTTATCTCGAGAAGGATAAGTTAAAAATTGTGAGATCCGAATTTTCGAGTCTGTCGGACGAAGATTTCAATCTGCTTACTCGTAAAGGAGTATTTCCTTACAAGTACGTAGATTGCGTCGAAAAACTGAACGATACACGCTTACCGCCGCGCGAATCGTTTCACAGCTCGCTGACGGGTGATACGGTGTCCGAGAGCGATTACGCGCACGCCGCGAACGTATGGAAGCGGTTCTCCGTGCGAACGCTCGGCGAGTACAGCGATCTGTACTTGAAAACCGACGTATTGTTATTGACCGACGTTTTCGAAAATTTTCGCGAAAGTTGCGTCGCGAGTTACGGTCTCGATCCCGCGCATTACTACACATTGCCAGGTTTCACGTGGGACGCTATGCTGAAACACACGCGCGTGAAATTCGAGTTGCTCACCGATATAGATATGGTGATGTTTATCGAGCGCGGTATACGCGGTGGCCTTAGCCAATGTTCCGGCAGATACGCAAAGGCCAATAACAAGTACATGCGTTCGTACAACTCGTCGAAACCGTCGTCGTACCTGATGTACTACGACGTTAACAATCTATACGGATGGGCGATGTGTCAGCCGCTGCCCTACGCGGATTTTCGATCAGCCGAAGACGCCGCGAACTTCGACGCGAACGCGATCGCTCCGGATTCGCCCACCGGGTACATACTCGAGGTAGATCTCGAGTATCCGCAACATTTTCACGACGCGCACGCTGACTTACCGTTCTGCCCGACGCGCGATAAGCCGCCCGACAAGCGCGAGAATAAACTGCTCGCGACTCTGTACTATAAATAGCGTTACGTCATTCATTACCGAACTTATTATCCGTAACCTTCAGCAATGCATACATCACGGCCTTCGCGTAACGAAGATCCATCACGTGTTACAATTCGCTCAATCAGCCTGGCTCCGTAATTACATCGAATTGAACACGCAATTCAGAACGCGCGCGAAAAACGATTTTGAAAAAAATTTGTATAAATTAATGAACAACGCGGTATTCGGCAAAACGATGGAGAACGTGCGCGATCGCGTCGACGTGAAATTAGTCACTACATGGGACGGGCGGTACGGCGCGGAGGCATTGATCGCGAAACCGAATTTCCACAGCAGCGTCTTTGCGGAAAACTTAATCGCTGTTGAATTGCGTAAACTTGAGGTGAAATTCGACAAGCCGATTTACGTAGGTATGTGTATACTCGACATATCAAAAGTCTGCTTGTACGAGTTTCACCACGAGTACATGGTACCTATGTTTAAGGAAAAATGTAAAATTATGTACACCGACACGGACAGTCTCATATATCGCGTCGAATGCGACGACGTGTACGCGGCGATGAAACGCGATATAGCTAGATTCGATACGAGCGACTATCCGACGGACAACGCGTACGGTATGCCTCTCGCAAACAAGAATATTCCCGGCCTTATGAAGGACGAAAACAACGGCGCGATAATGACCGAGTTCGTTGGACTCAGAGCGAAGATGTACGCGTTGCGCGTGGACGGAAAGAGAGATACGAAGAAGGCAAAGGGTGTAAATAGCAGCGTCGTAGCGCGAACGATAACGTTCGACGATTACACCCGATGCTTGAACGAAGAGATGGAAATGACGCGTAGACAGTCGTGTATACGATCGAAGTTACACCAAGTGTACACGGTGTCGGAGAAGAAAATCGCTCTGAGTCCGTACGACGACAAACGGTACGTCGTACCGGACTCGACGGAGACGTTACCGTGGGGACATTGGCGGATACCATTGTAGTAGTATAGTTTGCGATTTTTATACGTAATTTTATACTTTTATATACGTAATATTATACTTTAATTTTATATATGTATTTTATACTTATACTTTAATTCATATATATGTATTTTATACTTATGCTTTAATTCTTATATATGTATTTTTATATTGAATTTTTATATATTGTTACGTCCGGGGGACTCTACGAATCTTTTCTTTCGTAGAAAAGCTAGAAATATAATAAGGATTAACTAAATAAGGAGTACGAAGAAACTTAAACAAATAATATCGTTTCTTCCTGCTTCTCATTTCTAATTTGAAGATCAAAGCGTCGACAAACAATTACTAAATAATTAAAATGGAAATTTGTCTTAACTGACAAATTCAGATGATAAGCCACGTCGCGAGATCAAAAGGTCAACCGACACTCATGGATTTTATAGAAAAACATCTTCGGGTTAACAGAGTTCAACGCTACACGCGCGATTCCAGGACCAATGAAAATTCGACACATCATTTGACCCAAATTTTTCCATTTCCCGGAAGTCAATCCCGATCAAAGTCCAAAGTTCGATTACACAAAGAAGGGCATATTACCCTCCGTAAGTATAAATACTAGCCCTCCACGATGCCCACTCGCAGTTCGATCTTGATTTTTTAGTTACGCAGTTAGATCTTGATTTCTCAGTTACGCAGTTCAATTTTGATTTCTCAGTTAAGCAGTTCAATTTTGATTCTCCAGTTCCACAATTCGAAGTTGCCATTTCAATTCAGACTCACAGTTCGGCTCTTCAACTTCGATTCAAATTTATAAGTTTGGCAGTTCGCCAGTTCGACTGTCCGGCGATTAATAATTTATTTGAGTGAAAACCATCAGCCAGCCGAAGCCACCCACGAACTGTCCACCTGGCCTCCAGTCGCTGACGGAACTCTATTCCACTCTATTCCAGTATCAAAGGTAGAAAATCAAATTTACTTTCTAATTTTATATTTCTTTTTTTTTTATTTTGAACGACCATCTACGGTATTTCTCTTTCTCTCTCTCCTTTCTTCTTCACGCACACTCTTTTCCCTTTACTTTTCAGAGTCGCTTCAGCAACCGCTGCCTCAAGCGATTCTCTCTTTTCCTTTACTCTTCAGAGTCGCTTCAGCAACCGCTGCCTCAAGCGATTCTCTCTTTTCCTTTACTCTTCAGAGTCGCTTCAGCAACCGCTGCCTCAAGCGATTCTCTCTTTT